TCTCGGTTCCCCGTGACGCGCGCTGGATTGCCAATCGGGAAAGCTCGCGGCGCGTCCCGATGCTTTTCCCGTGTGAAAACGTCTCCGGTTTTCCGCGATCCATCGCCAGTTAGCGACCTTCCTCGGGCCAGACGAATGAATAAGCAAGAGGATAACTGACGGCGACGGATCACGATGGAGTCGGCCAGTCGCGGATATTGAATCTTTCATCGGATCCTCTCGTCCCGTGCTTCCCGCGGGCTGTCGCTGAATTTTCCCGCGGATAGCTGACTAATGGGCGGCGCGAGAAAGCGATAGGAATTGTCCGCGCGTGGAGGCACGAAACGCGGCTCGCCACGTGCCGCTCCGCTTTGATCCCGTACGCGTCGGAATCCCGGGAATCGATAGTCGTCCTCTCACGCGACCTGCAGTCCCGCGTTTCGTTGATTTCGCCGATTAGACACGCTCAACCGAGAACTGGTTTGTCGACGTTAATTCGTTGGAAATTGAGCTTTCGAATCTTAACGGTCGAATTCGGATTTCATCGAATTTTCTGGTTCCTTTTGCTTTCGTTTAATGTAATTCCTTTGGCTGTGCGATCGTTGGTTGGCATTGTTACAGTGGAGGCATAGGGGATCGAGATAAACCGTAGTTCGTTGAACGAGCATCGAAAAAGAAGCAGCGCGTGTCGCGGCGGCCTCGCGACTCCATATGAACTTCCGACGGCCTGTATTTCTAATTGTGTCGAACGCTGTATCGGCAAAGGGTAATGCACGGCTAAATACGGACCGCAGATTCGTCGCGTTCGAAATAACCGGCGGCGGCTTCCGTTTTGTATAGATACAGCGTTCTCTATTCGCATCCTTATTCTACGCTGTAATTTTGCTTATAACGAAACGAAGCTCTCTTTCTCTGTTAAACCTCTATTCCCCGACGGAAGTGATAACCGTACATCTTCATTTCCATATACCAAATCATTCCTCCTATTTGATAAGTTATTCAGAGTCGAGGACGGGACGAAAGGTGTTTCAGGTCGATAATTAAACGGAATCCGAGCTGAATAGGATTCAAACTGCTCGTCAATCTATTGAAATCATAGTTCTTTGAAGTTTCAACCTTCCTTTTCAATTTCCTCTTTTTCCAATACTCCGAGCAGATTGCTTTCAGGTAAAGTGTTCTAACGCGCGAATCGCGCTTCCGAGGATTTATCGAATGCTAGCGAATCAAAGACCCTCGCGGAAGCTTCCACTTCCATAAAGATGTTCACGAGCTACAGGTATCAGCCAAGCAAGACCTATTTAATTTCTCAAAGGGACACCTGCGTTTTCAATAATCGCCACGCAGGAAACCGGGAATAAATGATGTTGAGCTGTTAATGGATCCGCGGGAGTGTCCGCGGGGAACGAAGCGGTCGCCGGGGCCTGGTCTGGAAATTAACGAATATCCAGCTCGCGGTATCAACGCGCATTGTTCTGGCGTAATGGTGGTGGGCGAATAAACGCGTAACACACATTCCGCGGCCGGCTGTGCGTGTTTCCACGCGGAGAGGAGAGGAGAGGAGAGGAGAGGAGAGGAGAGGAAAGGGCTCGCGCTCATTCAGATGCGTCTCGCGTGCGTTTCTCCGCCGCGTCGGAGGACCGGAAGCTGGCTCGTCGTGCGTGCATCGTCACGCGTATCCGGTGCCCCGGAGTTCGTTTATCGAGCCCTGACACTTCCACGAAAGGACTCGTTTCGATCCTCCTCCTTCCTCTCCGCCTCTGGCTGTTCCTCCTTCTTCCGAGACTCACCCCTGCAGCCGCGAATTTCGTTACCAGGATTTCTGGCACGTCTGGCTTTCCGAGGAATGCTCTCCGAATCGTCTCCGATGTTGTACAGTCCGACGACGAAGGAGAGCTTGGAATCTTAACCCTTTCCGAATACTTCGCCGGCCACGGTGGAGCGAAGATCAATTTCGAAAGGAGCAATTTCGCGAGTTTCTGTAGGTTTTCTCGAGAGTTCCGTTTCGTCGGCAGCTTGCGAGTCTGTCGGGGAGTAACGGAAGACTCTTTCGTTAAAGACGATACTTACGGCGTCTTGCTAACCGTCGTTCCGTTTGGAGTCATAATATTTGCGAAGCGCCGGGCTTCGTGGAAAATAGACAAGCGTGTCTGGTCCAGCGATCGACGCTTCTAACGGGGTTTAGATTAAGAGACTTAAGTTAGAAGACTGCAAAGAGATTTGTCCGGTTCTAAATCGACGAATGATTTCCCGCAGCTGTTTACAACTGGCGAGGGGAAACGCGGTATGGCCTCCCATTGGAGATCGGCGAGACGGTGCAGATATTGGAGGAATGCGCGGGTAAGGTCAATTCAGTTTTTCCTTAAGAAACACTACCATTTCGTCGATGGTTTAGCGATAATGTCTTAAGTGTAGTTGAATACTTCGGCAACAGTGGTCGAAGTATAGTTGACTAGTAACTTTGATGCTTCCACAGCCAAAAGTTGTTTGAGGCTTCAAACGTCCTTTGACCCCCGAAGAAGTCAGCCGCAACGTTGACGAAACGTCGGGCTATAATTCCTTCCGGACCCGAAAGCCTCAAACAACTTACAGTCGAATACCCGTCGGCGATCTAGGATCAAACAAATCGATGACAATCGTTCGCAGGATGGTACAGAGGTTTCTCGACGAAGAACCGCGCGGTGAAGGGCATCTTCCCCAGCTCGTTCATCCACCTGAAGCCCTGCAAGATCGAGAACGAAGGACTGTTCGAGTCGGTGATACCCTTAGAGGATCCAGTGGTCCGCGAAGTCACCTTGGTGCTACGGGAATGGGGCGGCATTTGGAAACGGCTCTACGTGGTGAGTCGCAACCTCCTCCGACAACGAGCTTCTTCCTCCCTCTTCCTGTCCCCCTTCATCTATTTTCTCTGTCGGCTACAATGCAAAACCGTCCGGCCGTCGACGTCTGGCTGCGGCTCTTTTCCGCAACGACGGACAAATGAATGGCTCTCGTCGTTTCGCGACATACTTTTTCCCTCGTTGCGAAAAATGCACTGCTAAGGGTAGCCGGGAGGCGGGGCCGGGACAAGGGTCTCGTTTCAACGGTGAATATTTAACGAACGGAGTCTGCCGCGCGATTATACGCCGCCGGAACAAACGGCGGACCGGCTTCGCACGCGAACGAGCTCTTCAAAGTCACGAGTTCCTTGTTATTTAGAGACCGGGCTGGGACGAACGGTGTTCCGGTTCGATTATCGAGTATTTTTCGAAACTCCGCGGGGGCCTCGGAAACGGATAGAGGATGTCTTTAAATGGATTCGTTCAAACTGCAGACTATTGGAATTACAGAAGTTCTTTGAAGCCTCAGCCTTCTTTTTCAATCTCCTATTTTTCCGATAGTTCGAGTAGATTGCTTTCGGGTGAAATGTTCCAACGCGTGAATCGTGCTTCGAGGATTTATCGAATATCAGCGAATCGAAGGCTCGCGCGGAAGCTGCCACTTTCGTTTAGAAAAATATTCACAAGCCACAGGTGCGTTAAAAGTTCGCAGTCTATTCGTAAATGGCACTCGGGAAACTATGGAACGAAAATTAACTGAAATTCTTAAGCACCTTGCATTGAACTTGGTCCCGTGCCCACCAAGACGACAATTAACGAGCAAGAGACGAAAATCATGGCATTGCGGGGCTCGCGTAGCGCTCCCTTTGACCGGGTAAATTGCGTTTGGGGGAAAACGAAGGCTTTGATGTCGAGAGTATCGATCCCCGAGCCCGATCGAGCGAACGACGCGTCTGACCGGTAAGTGGACACCGAGGACCGATCGTTCCCTGCGACGTAAACTCCATTAACCTCGCGTCGAGGAGAATCGATCCCTTCTGAAGATGGCACTTTTCGAACTTCGCCCCTTTGAGCACGTCCTTTTCAAGAAGAATCGAAAATCAACGAGGATAGGCGGAGTCCGATTCGAATTGTCGAAGGGAATTCGTTTAATCCGTTATCTATGCATTTGAGAGTTCATTTCCAGAGTGTTTGTTCCCTTTCTGATGAAGGCTTCTTGTCTGTCGTCAACATTTCGAGAATGATCGCTAACGAAAATCTTCTCAAAGATGATAGTCAAAAAGATACGATGATAATTGTCGACTAATCTTCGCAAACATGAAACTAGATAATTTTGCGACCTATTTAATCGATCATGTACAACTGTTCGTGTATCGGAAACTGTAACTTACCTGTCAAAGTTTAAAAGAAGAAAGTGTGACGCCTCACGAGCAGAGAAACGTTCGTTTCATCTTGATAAGATATCTTTTCCCCCGGATCAATACTTCCGAGGATGAACCCCATGTTTCTAAAAGAATCCCGCCCTATCGACCGTAGGTGTAACGCAATTTTCACCGTATCCTGTGCGTTTCGGAAGCTAATCTAGACCTTTTCCTGTTACCCGGTCGTATCCAGGAGCGGGAGAACTACAAATTCATCACGCTGAGAAAGGTGATGCGAGAGTTGCTGGAATGGCGGCGGCAACTTCTGGCCGGCACTTTGACGACCGATCAGACGCGGGAGCTAAAGCTGCGGATCATCAGCAAAGTGGACTGGGGAAATCGGTAAGTTCCAATTTAGAACGATAGTAAATTTCATTGCAGCACTGTCTACACGCTATGTGCTTTCCACGCGTCCAATAAAGTAGACTAAAATTGAACTGCGGAAAGCTGCGAGATTTAAAACCGATGCGGCAAGCGCCGACAATATGGCGGCCACTGAGGCGCTAAGGTCTATAAACACACGAATATTTATAGTCTACAAGATAAACCACGGATAATAATCTTATTATCGAATAGTTCGTAAACTAAAGCGCTTCTAGCGAGCCTCAGGAATTATACAAATATTAAAAAATCCCTCCGCTCTCTGAAATACTCGCCTAACCTGCAACACCGACAAGATGGCGGCTGCGACCGCCAGTCGAACCGCATAGATCAGTTGCTTGAACTTAACGAGAGTATTGCAATGCGTATTCGAATAATTGCACTATCAAAATCGACTTAAACTGTTACTAAATAATGTTTACATTCGATATCCGTCACACTGACGGGTTCCGTAAATCTACATAGCGTTAAGCAAAAGAGGTTTTCGGAAACTCGTGCAAACACTTGTTACATGCAGCCTCGGACGATTGTTTCTCCTTCGAACACGTCCCAGACAAGCTAAACGGTTGGACACCCGTGGTATAGATCCCTCATTTCGGTTTGCTAATTGATGCGCCGAACGGCCGGGGGACGACTCGATAGAACAGTGCCGTGTCTCGCCGATCTCGACGGTTTTATTTGATGAAATTTATTGAACGATTACGGGCTTCCTCCTGTATAGTCGGCCGGTTGTAATTGAACTGACGCCGACAAAAGACCGCAGCGGGGGTTCACCACGAATTGAGACTCGTGTGTAGAACAGCGACGCGTCCCATTAGAAAGAGTATAACTTTATTCTATAGTTGAACCGTTCCGTTGTCTTTCTCTTCGCTGCCCGCTTACAGTCTAAACGTTTGCACGTGGTTTGGCAGTCTTCGCTTCGTTTTGACTACGCACGCCGCGACCCTTTACAAATGAGCACTCGTTTCTTCGAACGTGTTGCAACAGGGCGTCTAGGCTCTAAAATAAATCGGTAATCCTACTGGAAAGGCACGTTGCGAATAATTGCTAAATCTATTATATATCATATCTCTCTCTCTCTCTCTCTCTCTTTCACTCTCTCTCTCTCACTCTCTCACGTTCGCCTTAATCTAAGTCTATCTTAATATATCACTTGAAACGCGACTAATAGTAATAGTATACACGGTGACTCGCGCGATTCGTATTTCCCAATGAACTGATTCGAATGCTAAGAATATTAGTAAATTCTCCGTCTTGCGTTTTTATAATACTATTGGTTCTTTACAAACAGATTTGCCTTGTTCGTGCGAACGGATTTGGACAAACACGCGAGTCACCGTAACTAGGAGAAAAAGAACTACCAAGTAGTCAAAGAGTTATTATTGTCAATTGTATACTTAGCGGCAGCATAGTGTATCGTTCTCGCGAGCAATTTGAGAGAACACGAGACGTGAGCAAAAGAAAACACGCGGCTAGCTGCGTTATTGTTAGACTGCGGATTTTTGTGCAACTTTTGACAGAATTCGTTCAATTACAGAATGAGATATTCAAAGTATGGTACTCTCTATGTTATCCCTTACGGGAAATCATTTTCTAAGGTCATTCTGTCTTACCAATTAGATTTTCAAACACTCGAACCCGCACAAAAACCCACGGTCTACTTATTATGCTTCGTTGTCGGCGATCACCACCGATCACCTTCGAAACTTAATCTCGCGACACCAGTTAAATGAAACGTTACCCTCGCCACGTGGCAAATAATATTCAATCGTAACGAAAAAATAGAATATTAACGTAACCATCTACAACTATTCGTAATGAACGCGCAGCCTTAATCTTGCGAGAACGTTCGGGTCCAACGTCCCGCGGACATCAATACACGTGTCCATTTTCTTTATACAATTTTCCTTCCTCACGGGTAAGTAGAAACGGCGCACTGCCGTTTCCCCTAGCATTCACAGATTCTCCGCTACCTCCAATTTAAATGTCAATCTTATCTCGAATATTCAATGAAAAATATAACCGCGAAGCGACCGTACGCGGGACGAATCGTCTGAAAATATAATCTTGAATATCCTCGTTTACTTCAAAGACACAAAGAAATTCTCAAGGGAAAATACGTCTCGCTTGAAGTAGTTAACATGGCTGACATTGCAACGAAGATATTTTTCATCTTTTCCATATTCTTTCCCTTACAAATTTTACTTTCAGACGATTCATCCCAGGTACATATATATTTATATATACTCTAACGTTTCCTCGCTCTATGGATAATTGCACCAATATGGATAATTGCGCGTGGCACTTTAGCGTTTGGATAATTAAATAAATCCGTACTGTGATATCGAAAGAAGACAGGGGGAAAAATAAGAAAGAAAAAAAAAGAGAAAATCTTGAGATTCTTTCGTCGCCAAGAATACAACCCTGCTACGAGATTCAACGTATCGCCACTATCAGTTACGTTACGATCTACGACGGCTCTTTCAGCCGTTTGATTATTTGTATTGCTACAAAAGATATGTCACCATTATTTCCAAAGAATTTTCGGAAGCACTGAGTATAACCACGCTCTTTTCGTACGAGCCGTACGAAATTGAATATAATCCACCCCTCGGGTATGAATTTCGCTGGGAGTAATTGACGCACCGCGAAAATTATGTCGTTCGACCACGATCGTGGCAAATCATTTCTAAAGGAATGCTACTCGCGTTGAATCGCTCACGGATTGCAGGCGACGCGATCTATAGCTATGAGGCTGAAAAATAATTGCGTCGACGGAAACCTTCATCTTAACGCCTTTTGTACGATCAAATAGAAACTTGTAACATTAATCAAATTAACCGAATTGCAACTTCCTGATCCAATGAAATCATTAATACAGTAGTTAACATCCTATTTTTCCTGAGTTTCGCTAAAACAGTAAATTCATATAAAAATCCGCAGTACACAGTTTCTATTTGTACAAGAGGCTTCTCATAGGTGAATGTCTGCTCGCCATAATTTAACAGCGCGTGTCGATTACATTGCATAGTTGTTCGATTGTCTATAACATTGGTTGGCACCGGGAACAGCGTTCGTCGCGGCGATGTTTCTGGAATCGTCTACAAAGCTGTTCTCAATTTTGTCCCTCAACATTAGAACTACCAGATCGATTTCTTCACAATCATCGAAGCTAAAATATTTTCCTCAACAGTGCTTTCTTCAACTTAGACGCATTAAACTTAAATATACTATCTCTCGACGTTCGCGATCAGAAAAATACCATCTTCTCGTTTCCACAGAAAGATTGCAGGACAAAATGTCTTAATACACGAAACTTAACGAACAGAAACATGATTCTCATCGAAGCGAAAGGCGATCGAAGGTCACCAGCGCAAAGGGTCAACAGCTCGGTAGTTCCAGTGTCGATCACCGCGAGTCGATGTCTGTGGCAAGCATCCCGTCGTCCGACGAGTTTATTATTCCCCGGTGACGAACGATTCATCGCCGCGCGGCCCGTTCCCGGCACGGAAACCTGTCACGCGAGGCCGAGGGGCTCCACCACCCCCCGGCGTTTATCACAATAGAGAAGAAAGAAAAGAGAGGACAGTGGTCGGAAAGAGGCGGCGCGGGGCACGGGGCGCGGCAGGATTAGATCTCGGTGTCCTTCGCGTATTTCTCGATCTCCGGGTAGATGGGCGACATCTCGAGGGTGCTGGGCGCCGACGGCACCGACGTCGGCGACGCCTCGCTCGTCGAGCCGAGGTGCATTTGACGGTACAGCTCGTCGAGGACCTCCTTGAACATCATCACGTTCATGTTCTGGCCGAGCAGATGGAGCAGCAGGAAGTCTCCGACCTGAAATTTGTTTGTTTACGTTATCACGCTCGCTGGACTGCAGGCTTACGTACAGTTAGGTGTCTGTTTACGGGTAAAGTTGTCGCGAGTTCACTTTTAAAGGTTTCTCACTGGTGGAGGGATGCTTTGGAAAGTGACTCGAGATAGTGTTGCTCGTAAATGGACGCTTTAGGGATGTAATTGTGGAGTATATGCGTAGATTGTTACTGGACTTTTCTTTACAAGATTCTGATCAGAATAAAAGATAAAGGGCAATTAGAAACTAGATAAATGGTTCACTGATCCAAAGTTAGCTCCATCTTTATCTGTACCAACCCAGCAATGACATGGTTTCAATAGTAATGCATTTGATTTCGGAAGGGTTGTCACATATCAACCTTTATAGATGACACTTCGTTAGCAGAACATTAATTTCGAAGTCCCAACAACTCCATAGACAACTCAGCTGTGTCTCGATCGGTGTTAAGAGTGTTTAATAACCAACCACAAACATTGCCTACCTGTGTTTTCCTGATGAGCGCGCTGACAGCCGATGGCGTAGCGAACTTGAACCGTTTCTTAAGGATAGTTTCCCTGGTGCTGGGCAAGAGGACCACGGCCATGCTGTAAAGCATCGCTACGCCGGATAGCACCGCAAGAAGGATGAACCAGAACCACAGGAATATGTAGATTTTCTCATTGAGGATGTTCAAAGCCAGGACACATAGGGCGTCCAGTTTCTGGATGGTGCCGGAAGCTCCGAATTTGTGGAAGGTGCACTTGGTCACGCGAGGGAAGATTTCCACCATGGGGTCGGTGCGTTGCTCTTGATTCATGTTGCTGAACTTCAACACGTCCGTGCCGTACGACAGGAACGCGCCGCCGAGGAACGTGTCCACGAAGAATATGTTGCCGACCTGGAAGAACGATCAACGTTCGAAATCAAACTAGAAACTTGTATTCACAGTGGAAATTCACCTGCCATTATATTCAGCGATATGTACGAATGTCATTCGATCCTTTTCATCCAACGTAATCGCCTAGACCAGTGAAAACAAGGATTCTTATAGAAGCTATCGAAAGCCAAATTAAATCTCGAACCTCATTCAAATTTCTCTTGACTTATAATCTCTTTCACAATTATGCTCGATAAGAACAGAGTTCGATACAATGATTGTACAATGATTTCAGAAGCCAAAACATTCATTTTCTCGCTGTTTCTTCGACTCGATCGAATTCACTCGAAGATTTCCATCGCGAGCCCGTCGTAGAGCGAACGGAAAGCGGAGAACTTACCACGTTGACAAAGTTGAGCGCCTCGCAGAAGAAGTAGCCCGCCGCGTAGGTGTTGTGCAGGTGCATCGTGTCGGTGATGTACTTGACCAGCCGCTGGGACTTCGCCTTGCGCTCGAGCTTGTTGTCGAGCATCGCTCCCCTCATGCCCTCGGATATCATGCGGATCTTGCCCTCCTCCCACTGCTTCCATATCCAGTGCGGTATGTAGAACAGTATCCCTTGGAAGAACAGCATGAACGGGACCCACTGATAATACGAATGGTACCTCTTCTCGCCGACGTCGGTGCCGAGCCCGGGGTGCGCCACGTGGCTGCCGATCGGCTTGCCGTTGTTCTGGGGCAGCGAGAACGTGTACGTGATCCAGCAGTACGTGTTGATCACGTTCTCCGGCACCCCTACGTCGCTCAGACAGTTTATCGGGTCGCCTGTTAAACGAAATGTCGTTTATTCCGAGTGATCGCCGCCGATTAACCCCCCGTGCACTCGAAAGTTCTTCGGCGGAACCGGCCAACATTTTCCGACGAGACGCGGACGACGCTTAACCCCTCGCGCTCCGAGCAATTTCTGATTCGACCTCTCGGCAACTCCGACTCGTTTCTGCTGTGGGCTACCGGCTACTCCGCGAGATCGTGTTTTATCATTGGGAGTTACAATATAACGAATACAACACGAGAAACCATTTATAGGAAGGAAAATTGTTTCTGTAAAAGAGCCTCCCTTTGCACTGGCAAGTATTTCGAAACATTTTCCAACTAGACGAAGATGATATTTTTTGAAACTCAAAGAGAAATCACAAGTAAATTGAGAAACAGAAATTTTATCATTTTACTTCGTCGAATCAGGTGCCTGAGAGTCACCTCTCGAGTGCAAAGGGTTAATATTGAATATTAAACTTGAAATATATGTAAAAATAAATGCTTATAGTTTCGCTGCATCGAAACAACCGACTGAGAGTCGCTTTTCGAGTGCAAAGGGTCAACCCAATATATTCTTGTACCGTAATTTGTAGTTGCAAATTGGCTGGATGCCCTTTTGACATTCGATATTACGGAGAACATTGAAGGGCAACATTGCCCGAGGGTACAGTTTCAATGAAACGAGCTAGATATTATCGTGGATGTTTGTCCTTTGAAGCTTTTTCCGCGGGCTTCAGTTTCCTCTTCCTGGGTCGCGGCAAGGGGGTAAGCGATCGGCTCGCGATGCGATACAAATTGACCTGGTTGGACAACGACCGAGCGCATTATCGGCTCGATTACGGGCGCAATTACGCGGCAAATTATGCAACCAGCCATTCGAGAAGATCGCGGGACGATGTCTCGCGAAGCTGGGCAACACGTGTCTCGACGGCCGACCAGTCTGTTCGAGCGTTTCGTTGCGGATGTCTCCGCAACGAGATCTACAGTGGGTCGAGAATGCGTTGCACACGGTCGACTTACTCGTGATTATTGACCATGTAGATTAGAAATGATGATAGTCGTTACGAACAACAGATCTGACGAATAATAAAGGATCAAGGATGATCAGTATTAAGTTTTCAACGAAAGAATAGATAATTAGATTATCTTGACTCTTCTGATTACAATACTTTCGATCGTTCCTTAGGTAGATAGCTAAGTCGCACTTTATTCTATTTCTTCTAGAAAACTAGAGAGTCTGGAGAATTACTCGAACTGCTGAGATAATGTTCAAAAGATTCAATGTTCGTGAAATTGACGGGTTACGTAAATAGCGTTAAATTTAGTCCAACTCCGCTCGAAATTCTCGTACGAAGACACTCAAACGAATGAGTCACGCGATACCCGAGGACCAGTGTAATCGCAAGGCCTGAACGTGTTGAACAGTTGCAAACGATCGCACATTACAGTTAACGATAAAGCTGCCCTCGCATCTTCCACGAGCAATCTCGCAGCGAGCAGATGCGGCGTCCTCGAAACGAGACACCGGCGTTGTTTTAATCGCGACCGTCTGCGCCCTGCGCCTCGCGTTTATGCAATCGCCGATGATCTTCGACCCAGATGACGGCCGGTCTAAGAGGATCGTCTTTCCAGAGTTAATTCTGCCCGATGGAAATCAACAATTATTCGGCCGGAGGAGATAATTTCGCCCGAGGACGCTCGGTATACGGAAACCTGCCGTTGCATAATGTATCGGGAGGTCGCGTTGCGTGCTCGCCGATAAAAATACTCGCGCGCCCTAGCCTGTGTTCACCGATAAGGGGGCTCTGCGGCTGGCGGACACGATAACACGAACTTGAGAGATTGTCTTCGCTCGGTTCGAACTAATCGTTATGGAAATCAACTTGTAATCGAGTTAGCGTTCGTTAGCGCCTTCGCTGACACGGTGGCCACCGGTGACCGGCATTTCCGGATTCCAAGCAATCGCCGTGTAGCGTGATTGACGAGTGTTTGGAGATAAGGGGAACAGCTGTTTCAAGTAGCTGTTAATTGCAAGAAAAAGTCGAAGTTTCTCGAGGAATTTCGAGTGAAATGTTTCCAACGAATAGTTTACGATTGATGGAATGAAATGTTTAATGACCCAAGTGACTAGGCAATAAAGTAACGCAACGATTGCGAGGAAAATGAATGGATGTGACATGGGATACGAATAGGGAAAGATTGTAAAAATAAAGAGGCAAGAATGTTTTCCACCGACTCACCCTTACAGAGAACGAAATGAGAAAGAGTAATACTTCAGAGAAAGTAATCAATCGTTTTTCGATTACGATACGATCACGGCGCGTCTTACGTTATTAGAGCGTACAGTGTCCCATTGTCTGCGAGCGTATCCGCGTGCCAATACCTAATATGCGGCCTCGGAATCGATGTGTCGCGGATTAATGTTCCATTCTTGGTGCAGGGTCGCTGTCAACGCGAAAATAATGGCGATGCGCGACTTAAAGGTCGATGTTTAGTCATTTTCATAGGAGGAAAATACGCTGCTTCCTTCATTTTCCAGCAACCGAAGAGAACAGACTCTGATACACTTGTGATTCAGTTAACAGAATTTCTACCAAATGAAATTGGACTTCCTTTCTCAGACTTTCTAAACGAGAGCTTCCCGAAATCGGCAGAATTCAAGCGTCGACTGTCGTTTAACTGACAATCAATGCTGTAATTAATTAAATCATCGGATTCGGACTGTAACATTCACGAATTTGCAAACATATCAGTTCCTCCATTGACACAAATGATTTCGGTGAGACAAACGGTCGAGACGAGACAAAGTTTCGCGCGTTCTTCGCATTCTTCGTGCAACACAAGTTTCTCTCGCATTAGTTGCTACCCTCAGCGCGAAACCGCGAGGAACTGTACGTGCCAGTTCTCGAAGAACTGCCAATAATTCCGCAGTTCCCGGGGGTGTCGCAGAAATCCGAGCAAACCCTAAAGTTCCCCGGCGGGAGGCGCAACACGGCGAGAATCGCTGTTCGAAAGTTCGACGATGGCTGCTGCTTACCTATGAGGTTATTGGCAGACACGATGATGCAACAGGCGAAGAGAATCGCGGAGGTGACTCGGTAATGAGCCCTGAAGACCATGTTATCGATTATCGCCTTGTCCACGAGGTATCGTACCTTGACGAACCCGGCCACAGCCGACACCAAGCCGAACACCGCCATCTTGTTCCTCGGTCACGTTGCTGTCCACCTGAAAGCAAACCGAGAAAGACGATTAACAGCTGAATTATGGAAGATTTTATTTAGAAATCCACGTAGACCTCTGCTAAGAATGATCGAGTATTAGATCTGGTGATTTATTTCTTCGAAACAGTTAGTAACAATAAATTTCTGAAGATATTAAGCGTCGTTGAGCACTGTAACATCTGTAACGCGCGAGACGCGTTTCAGAGTACAGAAAGTTGGAGAAGCATTTTCAACTGGTAAAAATGTACAACTTTTGAAACGAACAGTAGCTTTATTATAAATACTCGTGACTCTTTTGTGTGCGTATCACCCGAGAATCACAAGGCTCGCGATCATCGGCCAGCCGGAAGACGTAGATCGCGGACCGATCTAAGCCGACGCGTGCCTCTATTCGCATAGATGATAGCGGTGATTAGAGCAATTAGCTAGATGAATTAACGGCCGTGTCTCGATGGGAAAACAGTTTCCCGTTCTCTAAAGCTGGGTGTTCATTCGAGAGTAAAGCTATCGCGAGTTACTCTCGCGAGGATGATACTCGAGTGAATACTGCATCGAAAGGGGCGATGACTTTATCACTCTCAACGTAATATTCAGTTCTAGCAAATGCTCTTGAGACTACTGTTATATCCACTTCGAAATGGACGCTTAGCTCAATGCGGCGACTGCCATCGTAGTCACCAATGAGCTTTCAAATTACTTTCAAGCAATTGCCATGGCAAAATTAATATCGAACAAGAATATCTAGAACTGTAATTAACCCTTAGCACTCCAGGTTGTTTTGTAATCAGCAGCTGCAACTAATTTGTATAGTATTCAAAGCGAAAATGAGAAATGCTGTAACATTTCTTTGATCTTTTATTCTCCTTAGAAAATTTGGATGTGCTGAAAATCGAATAATTTTAGGGTGGTTCAATGTTTCTATTCGTTCCACGAAAGATCGAAAGACGCAAGATGTTCGAGGTCCTTATTGTTTTTCCATCGAAATTCCCAGCACGAGTCCGCCGCGATGTCACGGGGCAATAGGTTAACGGTTCGCTCTGAATCCCACGCGCGATCGCGATCGATACCGGAGCGTTCTCGCCGATATCGGCGAGTAGTTTGCATTCTTCTCGAGTAACTCGGTTACACGGTGAGTCAACGCACCCGGCCGGCGAGACGTTTCTCGGCTCGCGTGACTCCTAACGAGCGGCTGCCCGTATCTCGGGCTTTTCATCGGTCCGATTCGCGTCGCCTCGGACCGCGAACACCCTGTCGCGGCAATTACCGGTAATAACGAGCCTGGCAAATTTCACCGCGCGATCGACAGCGACCGCCGCCCGCGCGTTGTCAGTCCGCGTTCGCGTCGCTGTCGATCGGCGCTCGCGATTTCGCACCTACCGCCGCGCTGCCGGATGCCAACGGTGAATTAACGCCGAGACTACCGAGCAAATTCACTGCCTTTTATTCCCCCGTGGGAATTATAGGAGCGCGTTTATCGGCAACTCGATTGGCTTGCATCTTAACGCGTTCTGCTCCGGTGTATACGCTCGATTCAACGCATTTCCAGCGAAACACTTTCCTCGGCAATGCTTCCTTTAACCCCAACCTCTACGTGTTTTAACAATTTTTTCTATATTTATTTGTGGTATCACAATTGTGCCATTTGAAGGTAACATTTCAATGACTCCCAGATATTCTTGAATAAATAAATAGAGCCTCACATTAAGCTATAATTGAATGAACTAACGTCGCCGTGAATCTCCAAGTGAGAAACCAAGGGCACTTCGGACCGCAAAGAGTTAACTTATCAAATAAACCTACGATACTCTAGAAAAGCTTACGCATATCGTTTGAAGATCTCTTCAATAAAAAACCACCGTCGAAAAACGATCGCTCGCGTGTTACCGAATCAAAGGTGATCGCAGCAGTGTGCTGGTCGACACGAAATTCGATTAGAATCTTCGTTCTGTATTCCGCGTGGCGCAGAGATAAATGCGAAAACATCCGCAGTCTATTTGTGTCTTTCGAAGCAATGTTTCTACAGCTAATGCGGAAATAATTGACCAAGTTAATTCTATAGTCTTTTCTCGAGAATTCTGCTTCGCCGCCGTACTTCTAGTCGGGACAACTAATCAGACTAATTCATTTGTACGTCCACCGTTAACCCGTGTCCCTATCATCTTTGTGTCAACGATATTTTTCCGGCCTTGACGCAGAAGAGCCACAGATTGGCCAACTATGTCATAAAGCAGTGAGTCAAGATTTTCAAAACGAAAGGAGACAAGCGCGAGGGATCGAGGCAGCGTGGAGTCGACAAAACGCGATTGGGATCGGCCAAGTTCCGCGTTTCCGGCCGGTCGAGGAGAGCCTCTTCCGCGGAACACGGGGCAACCTTGCACAGCCGGAAGCGGCAGATGTACGGAGGATCGATATAGAGCTCTGGCCTGCCTCCTCTCCTCTGTTCGCCTCGCTCGAACTCTCCGCTGTACACCGACACGCTCTTCAGCCCGTCGATTGTTCTCACGAGGAAACAAAAGCGCGGCCAAGAACGGCCGGGCGGATTTTTCGTGCCGCGTCGACGCACCGAAAACGCTCGCGCGACGGTTTTGTCGGCTCGCAGAAGCCCAACGACAGAAATCCCATTCAGTGGGAGCGGCGTGTATGTACTACCCTCGCGACTCGGCAACCCCGAACGAGACGGCGTGGCTCGTTCCGACGCTTTTCGAGTGCACGCGAGTCGCTCGCGGGTCAAAGCGACTACCTTCTCAAAGCTTTTCAGACCTTAGCGTGTTCAGTTACTTATGTGTGTAGCTTTGTCGAACGTTTCTAGTCCTCCTTTTGGCGGAGTTGATCGGTTCGCTAGATGCATTCGTTATTTTCTGTCGTACAATCGACTGCGAATGAATTAGCTTTCAAGTGGAATGTTTGATGCTTCGAATCACAGACAACGTCTCGACGCTGAGATACTGCAGTCGAAATTTCTATTCCACTCCAACGTTTCTAACGGGACTCTTGTCTGGTAAACGTTGAATCTTTGAAAAATGCGAAGAGACATCGCGATTGTCGCTATCCGAGCCCCTCTTACTTACGAATCGGAGGCAATGGAATCTTCAGAGGTCAGAACGATCGCTGGTGACCCGCGTCTAGCGCAGAAGCCCCGAAACATATTGCACGGTCAACATAGGATCGGTGTACCGCCCTCTCGACCGCGTTCCCAGCAATCCTCTCGCGTCCGCTGTCCAGCCCCGATATTTCCGAACGTTTTATCGCGCGGACTCGAGAAGCTCGCTCGCCGAGAGAGCGTACCATCGAGCACGATCTCGCGAGCCGAACTGGCCGAGCTGTAGGTCGTTAAAAGTTTATTAGTTAATTAATCGAGAGCAGCGGAGGCGCGTGCCGGCGCGGAGGGTCAATTTCTAAGCACGCCGGGTTGCCAGCGGCGGAGCGCGTGCCAGAAAACCTCTATCCTGCCGTTCCATTGTACGAACGGGGATGCTGGAAGATTCCTGCGGCAGCTGTGACTGTAAAGTCAAACCGTTTTCCAATGATACTCGCGTTTATCGCTGAGTTACGTGGCAATCGGAATCAGAATTCATATTTCTTTCTTTTTGCTTTCGGTCCTTGGAAAGAAGACGTCCGCGTTTAGAGAGTTCCAACGATTGTGCAGCACGCGACGCGATAATGGCTAGCTTGTAACGTTAGAAGCTGACTGCACTTGGATTTCGCAGCGTCTTTTCATCCCCTTTACTCCTGGTTCTCGGAGGAAGACATTAGAGCGCGTTTAAGGGGTGGATTCCACCGATTTTGCAGCACGTGACGCGATAACGAGCCGGCTTCGCAATGTTCTTATTCCTTTTACCTCTGTTTCCCGGGAAAAGACACTGGAACACGTTTAGAGGATCAATTTCATAGCAACTATATTCTCCGCACTTCTGTCTCTCGCGAGGAGAGATTCCGGCGCGTTTCGGGGGTGGACTTCACTGAATTCACACGCGCGACGCGATAATGGCCGGACTGTAACGTCACGAGTCGACTGCAGCTGGATTTCGCAGTGTCTTTTCATTCTTTTGACGTTCGGTCGGCGTCGAACCTCGCGTGTAATTTCAAGCCCTACGTGTCTGCGGTGCGCGGTCGCGTCGACGCGACGGATGATTTAAAACGATCTATGTATAATTTCTGCTGAAACCGCGTCCGCCGGCAACGTTTCGCAACTGGCCGTGCTCGAATCGCTCTCCCTCCACCGTTGTTCCTCGATCTCGCTCTTTATTCACGCTATCGCGGCCGGGTAACGTTATGCTCCGTTTCCACTGCACCTTGGATATCGGCTGTATCATTTAACACCGACGCGGATTATTCGTGCCAGCCGTTAACCGTTTCGCTGACACGCCGATGCTTCGAACGTTGCTGTCTCTCGCGGCTTATACGCTTCAACTTTCTTTCTGTCGATTTTTCTTTAATATTCGGTCTCTTAGACGTCACCTTCGTACCGTGAATTAAAATAATCCCGCAGGAGTTTCATCTTTTCAAAGTATAAGAATATTATCTATCGTCAGTTATCGACCAATGAAACTTCAACTGCGACACCTTTAATTGGAAAATACGAGCAAAGAGTTGAACTTTAAAAGAAAAATCAACGCGGAACAGTGAAACGATTCTCGGTATCGCATCAGACGCGATCGACCCATTAACAAGAGTGAATAATCAAAATCCTCGCGATCATAAATAATGCAAAAGAATGTTTAAAACGCGATCGCTCAAGGATCGCGAGCGATCGCGCGCTGTTGGGTCTCGCGGAGAGCGTTTCTCGAGGTATTTAGCCTGGTGCCGAGTGACTCTGATTTTCCGTGGCAACGGTCTCGCGATTCCTCGGCTCGGCTTCCTCGAAACGCGCTCTCGAGCGTGTGCGCTCGGGCCAAACCAGTTGCCCGGCCGCTTCTCGTGAAACGAGAGAGGACAGAGAAGAGGGAGCGGACACGCTGACGACACGAGGAAAGACTTCTTTCTACCGTGAACTTCCCAGACGAT